ATACATGAATTAAATAAGCCATCGATAGGTCAGGAAGGAGAGTGGGCTACTAGACAAAGCTTATGAGGCTTTGCCTTCAGGGCCCAAACTCAGCACACAGAAAAAGTCATTCCTTCCCCAAGGTTTAGTGAAAGAAGCGTATGAGCCCAGTAATACATAGGTGCACACAGGGGCTGGAAGGACCTAAGACAGTGGTTCTCAACGTGTGGGTCGCGACCCCATGGGACTTGTGCGACCCTTTCACAGGGGTCATATATCAGATATCCTGTATATCAGATATTTACATTATGATTCATAACAGCAGCAAAATTACAGTTACAAAGTAGCAATGGAAATAATTTTATGGCTGGGGGTCACCACAGCATGAGGAACTGTATTAAAGGGTCGCTGCATTCGGAAGAAGGTTGAGAACCACTGGCCTAAGAAGTTCCTAGGGCGTCATTGGGCTTGTTTTGTGCAACAAAGCACACACCTATGTGTCTTGACCTTGTCTGATTCCAAACAACACTGCGAGATTGGTTTCCCAGTCCAAGCCAAGCCTGATTGTTCACCCTGCTCCCTGCCTCCTGGCTGGCCTGCACTCAGCCTCAGAGGCTGCCATCATCTCCAGCTGTGGGTGCTCCTGGGTGGGAGGAGAAGCTTAAACAAAGCATCCCAATTGTTCCGAGGATTAGCCTGGCTTGTGTGAGCCTGTCCACAGTACAGGGAACCCAACCGGGGTCTGGGGCCAGGGCTGGATGGCAAGGCTGGCAGGCAGAGGGCTGGGAGCAGAGGCCCTTCCTTGGAGGCTTGTCTCTCATCAGCTCTGGCACTCCCCACACCTTGAGGACTCTGGCTTTTTTCTGGCTATCCCTCTTCACCATTCCCTACCCTAGGGATGGCCCATTTGAGTGGGGAACCTGGGGTCCCTTGCCTTCTCTTGGCAGGGCATCTCTTCTGTTCTCAGCTTCTCCGGAAATCAAGAAGGTTTTCCATCTAAGATCCAATAGCATTTGCTAAAATAAGAGAATCATAAAAATGAGGTATAAATGCCTCAGAGAGTATTTTGTTTTCAAGGAGCAAAATGGGCTAAATCCTCATTCAATAGCACTATTTGTTTGTTTGTTTATTTATTTATTCACTCATTCATTCATTCATTTGTTTATTTATTTGGTGGGGTCCTATTGTATAGCCCGGCTAGCCTGGAACTCATAGTCATCCTCCTTCCTCAACTTCCTGAGCCTTGAGACAAAAGGCCAGTGCCACCTCTCTGAGCCTGAAGGGCAGATTTTCATGGAAACACAGCAGGGCCATCCAACACTCTCAGTCCCGACCCTTTTGCCTGTTTGGGGAGCAATTTTCCTAACTGATAAATGTTGGCAGGAGGCAGGTGCCCCATCTTACAGGTGGGGACACGGAAGGCCCCCAATACTAGCGCCATCAGATGACTCCTGAATGGAGGTAGAGAGGATTTAGCTCACACAGCCATTTTCTGACCCTTGGGGGCTGTCTGTCTGTCTGTGTCTGTGTGTGCACGGGCAAAGTGAGTGGGTGGATGCATTGGGGATGTTAGGAACCTTGAAGCCAAAAGACTTATTCCGACACCTCAATGACTCATGTGCGAGCATGTCCTGGTCTCTGGGCCTCAGCACTGCTGTTTGCAGAAAGGGAGACGAAGCTAGGCAGGGTTCACATAACCAGTTATCAGGGCTTCTGCTCAGATGAAGTGGCCCGGGTGAGCGGCTCTGAGGGTCGCACAAACCCAAGACTGATTGCCGTGATTCTTCACTGTCTCCTCTGCCCTCCAGCTTCTCTTGGCTCTGCGGACACGTGCACAGGAACATCCTCTCCAAGTTCACCGGCCAGGCTGTGGAGCTGTTTGATGAGGAGTTCCGACGCCTCTACGCCTCCTCCAAGCCAGTGATGGGCCTGAAGTCCCCGAGGCTAGTGGCCCCACTCCGGCCCAGCAAGAGTCCAGGAGCCCCCAATGGCCACCTCAGTGGTAGCAGCGGCTCCGCCGGTGACGGAACCTCCTCCAACCCCTTCAGCAACCTGTCGACCGGCAGCAATACCCTCAACCAGAGTGTGTCCACATCCTCAGGGCCGGGCAGTCCGCTGGCCCCCATCCCACCCGCGGTCCCAAGGCTTCAGCCCTATCACAGCCCCCGGAGAGCCGTGGCCCCACAGGCCCTGTTGGTACCCATGAGGCCCCATGAGGGAGCATGTGCTCCCTACAGCAGCTTCATGGCCTATAGGCCCACCCGGCTGCAGCTGCAGCAGCTCGGCCTGGTGCCCAGGGTGACTCACCCCTGGAGGCCTTTTCTACAGGCCTTGCCTCATTTTTGAAGGGTCCTTTCCCCTCACTGCCTTCCTCGGGAGTGAGGACTAGGCACTTCTGAATTTTCTGACTCAAAGGCCATGCCTTAATGGCCAATAGGACCGAACCTGATTCCCTGAGAGCTAAAAGCACTAGAGGTGGGTTAGGGGGTTGGATTACTGCCTACCTCTGAATGTTCCCAGGCTTGAGACCATCCACTTGACAAACTGTATCAGTTCCTTGGTTTTCCTCAGTAGACCTAGGTAGCCCATTCTAGAAGATTCCAGGGAGGCAGCGGAGAACTCTCAATGGCAAAATGTGACTGAGAATCCCTGTCGTCCAAAGGCCATCCTGGACTTTGATATTGATGTCTACATAATGGAAAAATGGGTAGATGTTTTATAAACAGGATCCACTCCCCAAAGACTCGGCAAGGGAAGATTCAGTGACAAGGGTGAGAACATTCTGGATGTTTCCGGTAGGAAATGCCCCTCCTCTGTTCAGTGTCTTAAAACTGGAGTTCCCCGGACCTGATGGATTAGTAATGAGACCCCAGAAACTGTGAGTATGTGGGGTCATCTGCAGCTTCTGCCAGCGGGGATTCGACAACCTGATTCCACAAGGCATTTTCACAGACTCTGGAAGGCCTTGAAGTCTGGGCTGGCTGCAGGGACTTGAGCTGTCACGGCTGGAAATGGCCTTCAGCAAGGCCCAAGGCAGCCTTGGACAACTTTTCAAAGGTTCAGCTGGCCCCAGGCGGCCACCTGCCTCCAGGTCTGAGGTCTCTGCTTGTCCTGTTGATGCCCTGAGAAATAAATGTGGAACCCTCACAAGGCCATCATTAGTTCATTCCTGAAGAATGTGACAGCTACCCCTCTGTGGGGACAGCTCGGGGGAGGAGGGAGATAGGGTCACAAGATCAGCTCCAGCCTAGTCCAGCCAAAAGAAGGCAGGTGCCTGGGACCTGGAACACACACACACACACACACACACACACACACACACACACACCCCTCCTGCTAGCCATAACCCATCACAACAAAACCCTGGGCTTTACTGAGGAGGGCTTAGCAGTCCTGAGGAATAGAGTCCTTCCTTCCTTCCGCCTGTCCCCTGTTTCTGACAGCTATGGCACACTCAGTTTCCAACTCATCCATCCCTCTGCCTTATTTGTCCGACACTCCTGGCACAGGCAGGGCTGCTCTGGTTTCCATTCGTTTCTTTTGAAGTCTATTCCCATCCTCCCTTAACTTTGCTCTCTCTTAGTTCTGACAATTTAAAAAACACTCGTATTTGGATTCCAATTTTTTTTAAATTATATATGGTGGTGTGTGTGTGTGTGTGTGTGTGTGTGTGTGTGTGTGTGTGTGTGTGTGCTGCAGTGCATGTGTGGAGGCCAGAGGACGATGTGTGTGGCACTCAGGTCTTTTCCTCCACCTTGTGGTGCCCAGGGCCCAGGGATCCAAGTCAGGCCTTCTGGGTTGGGGGCAAATTCCCTCACTCTCTGAGCCATCGTACCAGGCAACCCCGAGGCTGCTGTTACACCTTGACACCAGGATAGGGTGAAGGTGCAATTACCAGGCCTGGCTGAGTTCTAAATTGGATTTCACAGTTGGCTGAGACAGTTGAAAGCAGAGAAAGCTCACGGGGGTAACAAAAACTGCCAAAGTCTTCGCTCTAAGGCCTCCCTACGTATGCTGGAATGGACTCATCCCTGGAGGAGGATGACTCAGCCAGTTCCTGGCTATTCCCAGCCAGCAGCTTTCCCAGTGCCCTGTTACTATGTTAGGCTATTCAAAATATACAATGTCTACTCTATTGAACCCTCACAGTTTGGTGACAGCCTGCTGGCTGGGAGGTAGGCCAGCATGGCTCTGATTAGCGACATGTAAGGCTCACCTCCAGGCAGAGCCTGTGGTTTGCAACCAGAGGGGGCTGGCAGGTTGAAGCCCTCCTCCACCAGCTACATTTCTGCAGCAACCACAAGCCACAGAATCCCCCTTTCCCACCACCTGCCTTGCAATGGATACATAACATCAAGGAACAAGCCTATGCCATTCAAGCTACCGGGGTGTGGGGAGTTTCTCTTTTACATCATGGTTCCAGCTTAACCTGACTGATACGACCTCTGAGACCCACTGGCTTGATATAGTGACATCCTTTGGGGTGGCTTGAGCTCCCTTCTAGAGACCCGGCTCCCACCGCAGACCAGTCGAAGTTTTCAGCGCCTGGCAGTGGGTAGTGGAAAATCAGACCCAGATGACATCCAAATCTCAAGTCTTGCCAAGCCTGGTCTTGAAAGTGGGATACCACAGCTCCCACTCTTGGCCACAAGGATCAGAGGAAGGAGCTGTATCCTCAGGCTGAGCTCTATTCAGAGAGCCTGAGATCTGAGTCGGCAGGAAAATGGCGACTTTCGCCTACCACCTCGCACCATCAGGCTTTACCGGGAAGCTGGGACAAAGGCAGTCAGTCATTCAGGAAATCAGTCTTGCCCCTCTGGCCAAGTGGTCAGCCATATTGTGTAAAGAATATTTTTAGTTATTCCTTGACAATTTCGAACACGTAAACAATGCAACTCCATCATACACACCCCAATGACCAGCTCCCAGGAACCACCAAGTCCGCTTCCACCTGGTGCTGCTGGTTGGAATGTTGACTGCTTTTGCTGCCTTGGTCTTATACAGGTCTTGTGCAAGTAATCACAGCTACGGTGAGTTTGAGGGTGAAACTGGTCATGCCATGTCCGCAAGACAGCATTCCACAACACTCCACCCTATCCTCTGGCTCTTACATTCTTTCTGCCTCCTCTTCCATGATGTCCCCTGAGCCATGGAGAGAGAGAGAGAAAGAGAGAGAGAGATGATGATGATGATGATGATGATGATGATGATGATGATGATGATGTAAATGTCTCATTTAAGGCTGGGCACTCAATAGTAATTTATTCTCAGCACTTCGAGAAGTTATAAGTCTCTGCATTTACAAAGAGAAGTTTCTCTGGCCAAGATGGAGGGCAGCACTAATTTGTGAATATAAACATCAACAGTCAGAATGCAGTCTGACAACATAGCCCAACAGTAGTAGGCTCCCCCTAAGGTCTATGATCTCTCCAGTCATGGGCTTGTGATGGTTTGTGGCACCAGGCATGAATTTCCTCCTACGGAACAGGCTTCAGATCCTGACGGACAAAAGCAGTTGGTTACCCCATAAACCTTTGTGCCACCACTGTACCAGTGGGCACATCTCTCCTGGCAGGTTGACATGACAGGATTCAGGGCTGTCCAAAGGTGTAGCACTGATGTCTCTTTTCCCCCACCCCTCACCCCCTACAACCTTCACGACACCTTTCGGCTCAGTGACAGCTAGCCAGCAGGGAGGAAGTCTCCACGTCAGTTTGGGCTTGATTCCTCTATGTCCTAAAACCAAATGTGTTGTGTCTTCACCCATAAGGTCTTACCGCCTAGTTCTGGTAGGCAGCCAAGAGCAACAGCAATAAATCTATACTTTGGGGGAGGCTCTGGGGCCTCTCTGGCCAATAGCTTCTAGGGAAGTATCCCACTTCCTGGCACTGAGATTTTCTCAGACACGTTTCTGAGACTTGTGCCCGAATTCCTCTCATTATGACCCCTTGCGCTCTTATTCTCCAAGTGTCTGGACACAGGCGCTTTGTGGAACCCTGGGTATAGTCAGTGTTTGCTGGTCTAACCCCTGGCTGGACTCCTCTAGAAGCTGAATTAACGCAGAACATGCAGGCCATTGGCAGTGTATACATGCTAAGGTATTAATAATGTGTATGTGGAGCTTCCATACTATATTACGGAATATAAGCGTGGTCTTTTTTTTTTTCTTTCTCAGAGTTAAGGACCGAACCCAGGGCCATGCGATTGCTAGGCAAGCGCTCTACCACTGAGCTAAATCCCCAACCCCGCGTGGTCTTACAGTGTGGAATACAAAGGTGCACATACCTGTCCATCCCTATTGTTTTCATGCTATCTTTGGTTCCACTTGGGGTTATAATCCCTTCTGGGTCTCCCTCACTAGGGGCTGCTTGCTGGAGCAGTCCTTAACCGACAGCCTCTACGACAGAGTGAAGTTCAACAATGGCACCTGGACATCCTCCATGGGCACATCTCTCTGCCCTGAGGATCCAGGACTGGTAGGAAAGACCTACCCATGAAGGCACCAGAGGGACCAGAAGAAAATGAAAGAAATGGCAGGGCTCTTATGTTGTAGAGGCTCCCATGGAAGACAGTGCTTCACATGTGAGAAAACCTGCACTGACTAAACGTATTGGCTGCTAATGACCACATGCTTCTAGAATCTTCTTGACAGTCTGTTGCAATCATTGATCTTCATAAACCCTGACCTTACATTCCTCCATCTACACTGTAAGAGCCCAGAGACCAACACTGTCTCTGCAGGCCCCGACAGGCCGGCAACGATGCCGTGGCTAGTCCACGTGCATTCATTATCAAGCCTCCTCAGTTGAGTGCTGGTGAGAAGGTTTCCTCCAGCAGGGCAGATGGCCACTGTGACACCCCAAGACTGCCTCCCCAGGACAGGAAAAAGGAGCTCCCACCTTCGCATGGCTTCACAGCTTGCCCTGCTGGCCTGTCGCCCAAGTGCCAAGGCAGCTTCTTCAAATGCTTTCTGGCCGTGGTCCAAGACGTTGTTGGGCATGGAGAAACTGTCAGTCACTTTCTCGGCTTCCTCCTCGAGAGTGTCTGTGTGTCAGAAAAACTGTCATTAGGAGTGTAAACACTGCAGACACATACAGACGAGCGGAGATGCAAGCCCTCCTCACTGTGGTTCAACGCATTCTGAGGTAGGTCGCGCTCCTCAGAGCACCCGCCCATCCTTCCTCTGCAGAGCCAGTGAAGATGGCCGGCGATCCTGAGTAGTGTGCCGGACGGAAGTCCTGCACAGATGGTTATAGCCCAGTGGTTCCTTGTGTGCGCAGGGTTGAGGGCGGCCCCTTCACTGTCTTCCCCAAGACAGGAGGAGAGGGAGTCCCTGCCTTCTAGATTAGTGGCCTTGGCTTGGGAACAGATTCCTAGATGTTCCCACTGATACAGGTACTTGTGAAGAAGCCCAGGCTCCCTGAGGTCCAGTCTCCTGTCTCCCTGAGCAGCACTGTCCTGGCCTCTCCCTTGACTTCTCAGGAATGTAGAGAAAGAAAGTGAACACTGGAGGTAAGTGAGGTGCTACAGGCCACACTAAAAAGGCGTGTGAGGAACCAAGAGGCAATGACTGTAACCTCTCAAGGGACAAGACATGCCTAGAACCACTGTGCCGTCAATACCACGGACCAGGCAGCCTCAACAGCAAGAAATTTGTTTTCTTACGGTTCTTAAGTCTGAGCTCAAGTGCCACCTGAGTCGGGTCCTCAGTGGCCTCTCTCCTTTGCAGAAGGCTCCTATTCTACTGCAAACAGCCGTGGTGGTGAATCTTGATCGTCAACTTGGATTGAAAGACACCAAGGAGACTGATAAAGGCTGCCTCTGGGGATGTCTATGAAGGATTTTCCTTACATGGTTGGTTCCATGAAGGCTGTGATCAACCAGTGATTGACTCTACTGAAGAATTTGAATCTACTGAAGAAGAGAGGACTGAGAGGTGATGGAAGTTGGTCTTGTTGGACAAAGTAGGTGCACTGGGAATGTGGGGGTTTGAGATAGGTGCTGAGAACCTTGAATACTTGATCCCCAGTTGGTAGCACTGTTTGGGAGGCTTAGGAAGTGTGGCCTCGTTGAAGGAAGCAGGTCACTAGGAGTGGGCTTTAAGAATTCAAAGGCCGCCGGGCGGTGGTGGCGCACGCCTTTAATCCCAGCACTCGGGAGGCAGAGCCAGGCGGATCTCTGTGAGTTCGAGGCCAGCCTGGGCTACCAAGTGAGTTCCAGGAGAGGCGCAAAGCTACACAGAGAAACCCTGTCTCGAAAAAACCAAAAAAAAAAAAAAAAAAAAAAAAAAAAAAAAAAAAAAAAAAAAAGAATTCAAAGGCCTCGTGCCTCAGATCAGAGGACACCTTCAGATGTCTACTCCATGGTGTAATTGTGAGTGTATTTCCTCATTTTATAGCTTAATAAATTCTGTTACCCATTTAATAGAAAAAAAATGTGAGCCCCCAGCTTCTGTTTCAGTTGCCATGTCTGCGCCTCCTTTCGCTCCAGCATCGTGGGCCCAAGCGCTCTGGAACTGTAAGCCCAAATAAACTCTTTCTTCTATAAGTTGCCTTATTACAGTCATAGAAAAGTGATTAATATAGGGCCATGTCTTTGAAAGATTACCTTGCCTGACTCTCAGCCTCTCTCTGTGTGTCTCTGTCTATGTCTCTCTCTCCATCTGTCTCTGTCTCTCTGTCTGTCTCTCCTTCTCTCTGTACCATAAGGTGAGCAGTTCTGCTCTATCTCCACTGTAAGACTCTGCCTCACAGAAACAACAGAGCTAGATTACTACATCTGTAACCTCTGAAATCCAAAATATATTCTTTCTCCCTTAAGATTTTTTTAAGGCTTTTTGTCATTCATAACTACAAAAAAAAAACCCCACAAGATTACTTCAACATGCCTGTCCTTGAATGCCCTTCTAAGTATACTAGTCAAATTGGAAAGAGTGAGATTGTAAGGAGTTGGGTGCCAAGTTGATAAGGGATGGGCTTTAAATGGTTTATGTGTTGACATGACAAGGTTGTGGTACACCCAGATGTTTGATAAGACATTATTCTGGGTGTCTACGGATGGGATTAACTCCTAGATTTAGAAAAGCAGATTTCCCTCCTCAGTGTGGGTAGGCCTCATCTAGTCAGCTGAAGCCAAACAAAATAGAAAGATCTGCCTTCCACAGCCAAGAGAGAATTCTGGTGGCCTTCCACCTACCACTACTTTTTCTTTTTAACCTGACCTAAAACAGTTCGCTGGCCTTGAGTCTGTGGCCTACATCCAGAAACTGCACTGTTAGCTCTCACTTGCAGAAGCATCCGGAAGATCTTGGGACTTGCCAGTCTCCATGATCCCATGATTCAGTGTTTTCTTAGCTAGTCATTCTTTGTCTCTGTCACTCTCTCCCCCTCTTGCCTATTGGTTCTGTTTCTCTGGAGAATCTTGACTAATGCAGATTTTAATACTGTGAAGATAAACAAACGTCCTGCCTCTAAGCAGTCACATTCTGAGGCACTAGGGTTTAGGGCCTTATAACACCACTTGGTAGCTGGAGGCTTTTCTATGTTCCACCTGATCCCACAGATGCTTGTAAAATAATCACTCAGAGGCTTATATTAATTACAAACTGCTTGGCCAAACAGCTCAAGCTTATTACTAACTAGCTAATTAAATTAATTAGCTCTTACTACTTAAATTAACCCATTTCTATTAATCTATGTATTGCCATGTGGCCGTGGCATTACCAGTCTGCTGGCATCTTGCTCCGTGGGCAGCTGGCTGGCTTCTCTCTCTCGACTCGGCCCTTCTTTCTCCCTGTATTCAGTTTGGCTTTCCCACCTAGCTATATTCTGCCCTGCCACAGGCCAAAGCAGCTTTATTCATCAACCAATAAAAGCAACACATATTCGCAGTGTACAGGACAGCCCACGTCACCACTTAGTCCCTAATAAGCAGGCATTTTATGGAGGTTCGGGTGCCCGAGGAGGCCTGGCTTATCCATCCCAAGGCAAGGATGTGGAGCAAGGGGAACACTCCCCCATTGTTGGTAGGAGTGCAAACTTTACAACCACTGTGAAAATCAATATGGTGGTTCCTCAGAAAACTGGAAATCAATCTACCTCAAGACCCAGCTACACCACTCTTGGGCATATACCCAAGGAATGCTCAGTCATACCACAAAGACACTTGCTCAGCTATGTTCATAGCAGCTTTATTTATAAAATCCAGAAACTGGAAACAACCTTAGATGTCCCTCAACCAAAGAATACATGAAGAAAATGTGGTACATTTACACAATGGAGTATTACTCAGCAGTAAAAAACAATGACATCATGAAATTTGCAGGCAAATGGATGAAACTAGAAAAAAAATCACCCTGAGTGAGGTAACCCAGACCCAGAACAACAAACATAGTATGAACTCACTTATAGCTGGATATTAGATGTTAAGTACATGATAATCATGCTATAATTCACAGACTCAGAAGCTAAGTAACAAGGAGGGCTCTAAGAGATCTGCTTGGGAGGGGATACAGAATAGATTTTGTGGGTAGACTGGGGGCAGGTGGGAATAGGAATAGGAGGGTCAGGTTGGAGGGGAATGGACTGAGAGAGTTTTGGGAGGGACTGGAATTGGAAGGCATGGGGAGGGGTGCAATGTGGAAACCTACTGCAGTAGGAACTCCCAGGATTCTAAGAGGGTGACCCTAGCAGGGACTCCTAGTCATGGAGGATTTGGAGCCTAAGCTGGAGACCCTCGGTAACCAGGCAAGGCTTCCAGGGGTGGGACTGGGACACGAACCCACCACAAAACCTAACCTGCAATCTATCCCACCTGCAAGATATGCTGGGGTAATGGAGACAGGGAATTTGTGGGAGCGGCCAACCAACAACTGGTCTGATTTGAGGTCCACACCAAGAGAAGGAGACCATGCCCAACACTGCCTGGACGACTGGACAGCCTAGAGACCTATGATAGAAAAAAAAAAATGAGCCGGGCTGTGGTGGTGCACGCCTTTAATCCCAGCACTGGGGAGGCAGAGGCAGGTGGATCTCTGTGAGTTGGAGGTCTACATACAGAGTGAGTTCCAGGAAAGGCGCAAAGCTACACAGAGAAACCCTGTCTCGGAAAAAAAAAAAAAAAAAAAAAGAACAAAATGATTCCTAATGATATTCTGCTATACTCATAGATTGGTGACTAGCCCAGTCATCTACAATCCCAGGACTACAGAAGCTGAGTCAGAAGAGTCAAGTTTACTAGCCTGTGCTACCTAAGTTCCAGGCCGCTTTAGGCCTTATAGCAAGACACTGTCTGAGAAAACCAAAGCAAAACAAAAAATTAGTTCCACCAGCAGTCAAAGGGTTACTCTTGACAGCTATTCCTCCAATACACAGTAGTCCTGAAGCTGAAGGAAGGACCCAGGGCTGTTCTGGATATCCATGTGTATCATCTCTTTCTAGTCTGGGGCAGGGACACCTGCCAAGGGGCATGGCCTAGAGTATCATTCTGGGAGTCCTCACCGTAATAGTAACACAGAGACACATGGGGGAAGTCATCTCCTTCCTGAATGTTCTATTCCACCCTCTGGTAGTACTAAGAAAGGAGCAGTGAATAGTCTGCAGGTCTGGGCCTGGGAGGTCAGGCTTGGCTCCAGAGGGCCTGCTGCATGTGTTCAGTCTCCAGGAGACAGAGACGTGGCATCAAGAGCCTGGAGCTGCCATGTGTATGTTCCCTGAGCTTTCTAAGTCTGAGGGAGACAGGGCTGGACTTGAGGAAACACAGGCACTGAGGTGTAAAAGTGAGAAACCAGCCCCAGGCTAGGCAGGAAAACCCTGACAGACAGTGGGCACAGCCCTGGGAAAGAGTCTGGCTGTATTCTAAGTTTGGTGAGAAACTTCTAGACATTGACAAATTGTACAATTCTCTAGGGCTTTGGGGCCCTTTGGGTAGCTGGACTGTAGCCCCACTCTCCTCACATGTGAACACTCATATATGGGCCTGGAAAACACACGTCCTTTGAAGTTCAAAGACTACTTAACATTTGGAAAGTAAACTACATTCAGCATCTGTATTCATTACTTTTCTTATTTTGTTGTTGTTTTTGTTTTTCAAGACAGTGTTTCTCTGTGTAGTTTTGTTTATTTTGTCTCTTTTTTTCCCCAGAACTGAGGTCCGAACCCAGGGCCTTGCGCTTGCTAGGCAAGCACTCTACCACTGAGCTAAATCCCCAACCCTTTTCTTATTTTGGTGACAATGTCATAAAAACAACTCAGAAGGAAAGGCTTGCTCTGACTCACAGTTTGAGAGCACAGTCCATCCTAATGGGGACAGCCTGACAGTGGAAGCATGAGGCAGCTGGTCACATGGCATCTGTAGTTAAAAAGCAGAGAGGTATGAATGCTGATGCTCAGCTCCCTATCTCCTTTTTACTTAATCTGAGAAACCCCCCCACCCCCACCAAAGCCATAGGATGGGGCTGCCTGCAGGTGGAGTTTTTTGTTGGGCCAGTGAGCAGCTCTGTACCTCCAGCTGCTTCCCAAAATACCACTCAGAGATTTATTATTAATTATAAATGCTTGGCCAATAGCTCAGACTTATTACTAACTAGCTCTCTCAACTTAAATTAACCCATTTCTATTCATCTATGTGCAGCCCTGAGGCTCGTGGCTTTTACCTTTCCTGCATGTCCTGTTTCCTTTTCTGTCTGGCGACTCCTCTGATTCCGCTCTCCTTCCCAGCATTCTCTTTGGCTGAAAATCCTGCCTAGCTATCAGCCAATCAGCTTTTTATTAACAATGAGAGCAATACATATTTACAGTGTACAAAGATTGTTCCATAGCAGCCGCCTACATTCAATACGGGGCTTACCTCAGTTAAACCTCATTGGAAACATGGGCAGGCATGCCCAGGGTTTGTTTCCAAGGTTCAGGTTGACAATCAAGACTCACGATTACGGCATTACACCATAAAGACACTTGCTCAACTACGTTCATAGCGGCTTCATTCATAATAGCCAGAAACTGGAAACAACCTAGATGTCCCTCAACCAAAGGGACATCCCTAAACTAGCCCTGCCCCTGTCCAAAGCCTCCCATAGCCACTGCCCCAGAATAAGGTCAGACTTAGCCTGGTGTTGACAATGTACAGTTTGGAGCTGGCCTAACGGTCCTGACACCTCATTACCCACCCTTTGCTCCACTAATCCAGCTGGCCATCCGTCGTTTTCCCCAGGCCTCTGCTCTTCCCATACCTCAACTGAGGCTTCAGATGCAGCCGCCTCTCATTGTCCACCGAGCCTGCTGCATACCTTCCCCTCTTCCAAAATCCAACTCAGACCCGCTCCTTCCAGAACCTTCTGTGAAAGCTGCAGCCCTCCCCTGTACTCCCACTCCCTCTCCTCCACGCTTTCTGATGGTCTACTCATCTGGCTACCTATGACTTCCTTAAAAACAGGTTTTAGCCGGGCGGTGGTGGCGCACGCCTTTAATCCCAGCACTCGGGAGGCAGAAGCAGGTGGATCTCTGTGAGTTCGAGGCCAGCCTGGTCTACAGAAGGAGACCCAGGACAGGCACCAAAACTACACAGAGAAACCCTGTCTTGAAAAACCAAAAACAGAAAGAAAAAAAAAAAAGGTATTGCCTCTTCTCTTTGACACCTCCTACAATGCTTAGTCAAGATTTCGTCACCAAACGAATGAATGAAGGGATATCATTTAGAACATCAACGGCCTTCTGGGATGAAAGGCGCCATTCTAAAACCTAGAGAAAAAGATCCAAGTGGACCCTCCAAGGATGCCTGAGTTGGAAGTAACAGAAGCCAGTACAGGCAGTCTTAATCTTGGGTGGGATTATTTCACACGTTCTCTTTTTCTTGGCTTAAAGAATGCCCACAATGGTAGTAATCTAATAGAATGGATCGCCTCCCTGTTCTACAGTCCAGAAAACTGACTTTCAGACTAGGCTAAAAACCAAGGAATCAACAAAAACATATTCCTGAAAATTGTGCTTTTCCTAGTTTCTGCAAACTACCTCAAGTTCTTGGCTGGTAACCTCTGACCCCATCTTGGAAGGTAGACAACATACAGCATCTCTCTGGATTCAGCACATTCCACGTGCCTCCACCTTGCAGTTTTAAAGACGCTGGTGATTTCCTTGGGTCTGCCCAGATCCTTCCAGACAAACTTCCCGACTTCAGCTGACTGGCAGCCCTCCCTCCCCTTTGCCACATAACCTAATGTATTTGTAGGTCCTGGGTATCAGAACATGGATACCACGGGTGGGGGTGGGGGACGTTCTTCTCCCTGCTGCTCCTTGGGGTTTCCATGGAGGCACGAGAAAGGCCCTAGAGTCCAGAGAGATCTCTGTGCTTTGGGGGCATCTCTGTGTTTTTCTCTCCGCAGACCTACTCTTCTTGCTTTTTGCTTTGAAGAGCACAGTGCCAGCTCCCATCGTTTGAGGTTGGTTGGTTCAGAAGAGTATTTTGTTTCCAAATCCTCAGTCAAGACTCTGGCCCAGATGGAGTCAGACAACTCTCTCTGACTCCTCTAATAGTTTGAGTCTCTGGACCAGATGCCAACACTTCAGGAGAGGCCAGCTCTCCCGGAAGGAAGAGGGGCAGCTCCAATACCACCAAAGCTTCAGAAGATGAAGTCTCCCAGTACCAAGGAGGAAGAAAAAATAAAGGAAATACATGAGTATCTTCTACCCACCCCATTCCTCCAATTCACTCATCCTCCCTCCAACCTGGGTCCCCAGCTCCTGCAGAAGTCTCCAAGTGACCACAATATGGGACGATGGAACTGAGGTGCCATTCACTGGACTGTCTGTCGGCTCACTCAGGACATTCCTATTAGCTTTGCTGGGTCCAAAACTCTAACCCAGGTCTGATTTAGCCAGAAGACAGAAGCAGGAAGGGAGAGAGCAACCACATTCGTGCAAGGCTGGCCCTGATTTGAGGAGTGCGCAGCCCCGCAGCGGCGGAGTTTGCTGAGGTTTTGTGTCCTCCTTTGTTTCTCAGCTGGTTTCCTTGCTTCCCATCAACCCCCGAGGCCCTGGAAAGCTGCTGGGGGTAAATAGAAACCTTTCATAGATTAAATTTTTGGAGAAGGCTCCCATTTAAAGCCATCTTTCTGGAAATACGAGCTTGTATTCATTTGCTGCAGCTGTGATGACCCCACAGTTTCCCCAAAGCGAAGCACAGCTTTTATAAAAATGTCATACTGCACAGATGTTGGAAACATCTTTGACACTGGTGGCCTGACTCTGCAGGGGCTGGCTTCAACCCCACTGTACCTCAGGTGGTCTTTTCCAGAGACTGGCACTCTAGGAAGGCGGCAGTGGGGAAGCTGGGATCCACTATGAAGGGCAAACAAAAGAGATGGTCCGGGGCTTCTGCTCTGCCTAGGAGTAATTCCAAGTGCGTTATTAATTCTAGCTCCCACAGGCACTGAGAAAAGCACAGGGCGCTGTAACATTTGACCCGGAACCTGACAAATGTAGGGTTCAGGAGAGCTTTAGGAAGGAAACAAGGGTTGTGCAGAGGATCACAGGGGAGCATGTTCCCAGTAGAGACAACTGGATGGGCAGAGAGCTAGGGATGGGTGGGAGGTCTTAGAGAGCCCAGGGATGCGGATAAGAGCCAGAGCTAGTACCAAAAGGAGAGAGTGAGCTGGACTGCATTGGGCCAGGAGGCCACGCTATAGACTTCACGGCCTTCCTGACGACTTAAAGAATGACCTTGGTCAGATCCTAGCTCCAGTTTGAAGCTTGTAGATGTGTAAGATTGTAAAAGATAGAAGACATTTACCAGCGCAAAAAAACAGTGTCAGGGAGGTCATGCCCCTTGGGGTCAGAACAGGACACATCCAGACACCAAAATCTCAGCACAAAGGAGACTTATTACCCAGGATGGGGGGGTGGGGGGCGGGTGTCAGGGGAGGCTCCAAAGGCAGACAGCAAGCAGCAGCAGCAGCAGCAGCAGCAGCGAATAGGCATGTTTGTTTGTTTGTTTGTTATAGGAGTGGGTTTTTAAGGAGAAAAAGGGGGAGTCTGTGCTGGGGTGAATTGGTAAATCCTGATTGGACATGATAGCCAAATGATGAATTTTGTTTATTTAATTTTTTTAAGACGTATTTTTGTTTCTGTGCATTGGTGTCTCCTCTGCATGTGTGTCTGTGTGAGGATGTCAGATTCCCTGGAAATGGAGTTACAAACAGTTGTGAGCTGACACGTGGGTGCTGGGAATTGAACCCGGGTCCTCTGGAAGAGCAGCCGGGGCTCTTAACCACTGAGCCATCTCTCCAGGCCCAAATAATGAATTTTGATTGTTGGACCCTGGTGTTTTGTCTCAAGAATGAGTCAGTGGCCACATAAGGGAGTGGACCTTGGGGACTGGCTTTGGGAAGGTAACCTAACGATTCTTAGCAAGAGGGAGAGGAGTAAAAGGCAAAACCTGTCGGCAACATGTTGGGGATGCTCGGGCCTGCTAGTGTCCCTACAGAGTCCTGTCTGGGAGAGAAGACTGCAGTGAGGACCTCTAAGAGTGTAAGGGGTCTGTGACAGCTAATCTTCATTGTCACTGTGACGGGATTTGGAATCACCTAGGCTCCTGGGTGTGTGTGTCCGAGGGGGCCGGCTTTTCCAGAGAAGTTTAACTGAGGGGGGAAACTCGTGGTAACTGTTCTGCACCATCCCATGGGCGGGGGTCCTAGGCAATAGGGAGGGGACAGGGAGCTGAGCACACACACACACACACACACACACACACACACACACACACACACACACACATACATCCATCTCTCTGCTTCCTGACTGTAGATCCAACATAAGTAGCCGCCTCACACTCCAGCCCCAGGCCTTCCCTGCCTCGATGGATTGTGTTCTCCAACTCAGAGCCCACATGAAGCTTTCCCTCTTTAAAGGTTTCTGGTTGGGTATTTGGTTCCAAGAGAGAAGTAACCAATTCAATGTCCCGCCCTAGGTGGAGAGCAGGCGGTAATACCTGTGGCGGCCATGCACTCTCGTCGAGTGATTCACTCATTGGCAAGAGGGTGGAGTTGTGTGAACAGACAGTGGCAGAGTCATCACCCAACTCATTACCTTGCCCCCACACCCCCACACCCCCACCCCGCCTGTGCTGGAAATGACCGGAGTAACTGGGTGATGAAACCCAGCTACCCTGGCCTCTCCCACCCTCAGTGACAGCTGAGGCTTTGGAGCTAGATGAGCCTGGTCCTCACTGGTCACCCCCTGCCAGGAAGGTGAGGTGGTAAGCTGTGCCAAGATGTCATGGAAACCAGCAGGCCACCAGGTGTAGCTGGGGCGTCTGGGAGGGGAACCAGAGAACTGAGAGCATGAAGCATAGGTGAAGCTGGCCGGGGTTGGGGTGGGACTGGAGCCCAAGGCTGGGGGAGGACAGGAAGCCTTTCCAGGAAATCTAGGCATATAGGGCAAAAGGGTTCGGCTACAGAAAGAGAAATGGGCAAGTCCTGGGATTGCCTCAGCACTGTATCAGATCTAAGGCATGTTAGCTTTTTTTTTTTTTTTTTTTTGGTTTTTCGAGACAGGGTTTCTGTGTGTAGCTTTGCGCCTTTCCTGGAACTCGCTTTGGAGACCAGGCTGGCCTCGAACTCACAGAGATCCGCCTGGCTCTGCCTCCCGAGTGCTGGGATTAAAGGCGTGCGCCACCACCGCCCAGCGGCATGTTAGCTTTTATGCAAACCCAAAATATCAGCCATTCTTTTTTTTTTTTTTTTTTTTTTGGTTTTTCGAGACAGGGTTTCTCTGTGTAGCTTTGCGCCTTTCCTGGATCTCGCTCTTTAGACCACGCTGGCCTTGAACTCACAAAGATCCGCCTGCCTCTGCCTCCCAAGTGCACCACCACTACCCAGCTATATCAGCCATTCTTAAAAGTGAATTTTTAGTAAAATGCCCGATAATTTTCCCTGGGAATAGAAGCGTAAACTAGGCAGTCCTCGGCTTTACAGAATGTTGATTCTATCACAGGAACCAGCCATGAAAATAACAAAGAGTAAGGGACTAGGAAGGGAGGCCAAAAAAGGGGGGATCCTAGCATCATTTGGGGGTCAGGAAGACTTCTCGGAAACCAAACCTGTGAATTAAGCTACCCGTTGAAGACGGAGAGGGTCCTTCAGAAAGCTAAAGGAACTGTGGGCAAGAGAGCGCCAGGTGCCCACAGCTGCACTAGGAGGGGCAGGGCAGGCTATGCCAGCGTATGTCCCTGAGGGTGAGCCACCGCTAGTCCACAATTCTGGCCCACGTCTCCCCAGAATCAGTGAGTGACACATGATATGAACTCAATTAACGATGGCTGAATGGATGCTCCACTGTTAACGGTTTCTATAACCGCAACGCCTGTTAATTGTACAGTCTTTTGTTTCCCATTTGAGAAACTAACCTTGCACTTGCTGGTCAAGAGTCATCAGACTGAGCACAATCAGCCCCTTGTCTGTCTGGGGAAGGGCATAAGGAAGGTGAAGCCAGCAAGGATGGGGTGGGGGGATTCCTGGAGACTGTACCGGGGGGCTGGAATCATCTCTCCACTGGAAATCTGCATAAAGACAACCTGGGGTGAGGGTTACCTTATCACTTCCACTAGAAAAGGGCACCTCCATCCTGGATAATTCCTTGAGTAAGAAAATGGCCCTTTGTAAATGCTGACAATTTTAGGCACCGTGGTACATGTGGCTAAAGGATAGGACAGAGATCTGGGCTACTCACACATCCGAGCAATCTGGACTTCCTCAGCCCAGGGTTCTTCTGCAGGGCACGTCTGTAATGTGAATTATAGTAATGCACATTCACAGTGTGACAGGAAGCATTCCTGTGTGCCCACGTGTACAGCCAGCCTCCTTAGGACCTGGAGGCAAAAGTAGCTGACGTAAATATGCTCAGGCTCATCCTGCTTGCTGGCCCTGAGTGATGGAATCCGGTCTCTGACTCAGGAATCCTGTCTTCTGCCAGCATCCAGGGCTTGACTATGAACTATCCTCACAGAGTCATTGTTGAGGTCAACACAAGGAGGCAGTAGAAACTTTAGGTGGTGGGTCTTAGCTGGAGGAAGTAGGTCCCTGTGGGCGTGTCCTTGAGGGCTGTATTGTTCTAGTCCCTTCTCTCTCTCCCTCTGCTTCCTGGCCACTGTGACTGAGCCTTGTCCTCACTGTGATGGACAGAAACGTCTGGAACCATCAGTCACAATCAACCCTCACAAAAGCTAGCTCAGCCCCTTTATCGTTTTCCCAAGAGCTGCCTGCTAGGTTGGCAGAGACCTATAAGACAGTACACGAGGGCCTCAAAACCACAAAAATAAATAGCAAAACTGAAAACAGATGAAATGACCTGGGAGAGAAGTTTTTATAAACAACATAAAGAACCGTCTTTATTTCAGTTGCCCATGATTACACAGACCTTACCTAAAGTAAACCAGGACAACACAGCGCAAGACGTTCGGGTCCCGACGTGCTTCTCTAAGCTGTGATCTGTAGCTCCACGTGGAACTGATTTTCCAAGGAACAGAAGTGGTCTTTGATCCTTCTGAACCACTTGTCTTCAAATTCTTCGGAGGATGCGATCACCAAGGCGGTCAGGGCTGCGGGGCCAAGACACTTCACCTCTGAATGCACTTCATCTTTGATTTTCTCTGGGACAATGTCTTCCCCCATAGCCTGTAGGAGAGAGGGGGAAAGACTAGCCCAGTTAGAGGCAGCACACAGAAGAAAGGTTATTTACCAGCTGTAAAGCCTTTCACACAGAACACTCGGGGAGGCACTCCGCTCTCCTGAGAAGGCCTGGTCCAAAGCTATCATCACACACACCAACTGCACGGTTTCCACTCTCACTCTCCCCAGTAAAGGAACTCCTAAGTCCTAAGGTGGCAGCTGGGCCTCCTGGGCTCCTGGGAGCACTGAGTCAACCTTTCTATGTCAGACTGTTCTGTTACAGTGCACCTGAGCGCTTCTCCCTCCTGGCCAGAGGCTGAGGCTGAAAGGGTAGAGGTAGAGCCTAGGGTATGATGTGGGATACAGATCTGTCTGCTCCATGTTCCCCCAAAGAAGCCAAAGGCAGCAAAGAATCAAGCAACAAGTCGCTGTGTCCACCTCTCACTGACTTGGAGACTCCAACCCTCCACAGGCAAGGCTCTCTAGGGCCTTAGCACATCCCCATTAAAGGCACAATGCTGCTCCCTCCTGGTCACAACCAAACTGCAGGGACACGGACTCCAACCCTGGATTCTGGACAACTCAAAATTAGATTCTAGAAAGCCTTTATGTAACCTCACTAAGTGATCCTTTGGTAGTGACAGTGAGCAAAATGGAGCTCTGACAAGGTTCATACTCACCAGCGTGAGAGCGTACACAACCATCCAGCAGGGATGCTGTGCAGGGAACGGGAGACACTAACCTAAGGCTCCTCCAACCTTGAGATCTCATGTGGCCACAGAAACCGGAAGTGCAACCAAAGAATGGCCCTTCAGAAACCACGTTTGTGTGTGTGCACATGTGTGGTGTATGCTTGTATGTGCACATGTGTGGTGTATGCTTGTATGTGCACATGTGTGGTGTATGCTTGTATGTGCACATGTGTGGTGTATGCTTGTGTGTGCACATGTGTGGTGTATGCTTGTGTGTGCACATGTGTGGTGTATGCTTGTGTGTGCACATGTGTGGTGTATGCTTGCGTGTGCACATGTGTGGTGTATGCTTGTGTGTGCACATGTGTGGTGTATGCTTGTGTGTGCATGTGTGTGGGGGCATATGTACCCTTGCTTGTGTGTGCATGTGTGTGGGGGCATATGTACCCTTGCTTGTGTATGCCAAGTCCAAAGAAGAATTCTGCTGTCACTCTCGGCCTTACTCTCACTGAACCTTAACCCGGCTGTTCCGGCTAGGCTGGGAGCCAGCTCACAGTCAACCTTCTCTGTCTCCCAGCGCCAGGGTTACAGCATTTGTAACCATGCCTGGCTTATGTGGGGATTCGAACTCAGGTCCTTCTGCTTACTGCATACAAGCTCTTCTCTACCAAGCCACCTCTCTAGCCTCAAATAACACATTTTTTGAGGTAATTGTCAATAATTTAATAATTAATGTTTATTTATCAAACATTACTAATTCATCCATTCTGAGTTTTTTTTAAATTATTTCAGTGTCTCTGAAATCATGAACTGATATATCACATCGTAAATTGCATGATCTTTCTCTTTCAGTGGCTTATCATAATGATGTGTCTCACAAGTGACTTCTTGGATTCAATGAAAATCAGTTTTTATTTATTTAGAGACAGAGTCTCTCTATGTCATCCTGGCTGGTCTCAAACTCATTATGTAGACTGGTCTTGAATTCACAGAGATCCACCTGTCTCTGTCACCCACATGCTAGGATTAAAGGAATGTGAAACCAGGCCTAGTCTTAAAATCAATATTTTAGCTGGGTGTGGTGGCACACACTGTTAATCTCAGCACTTGGGAGGTAGAGGCAGGCGGATCTCTGTGAATTTGAGGTCAGCCTGGTCTACAGAGTGAGTTCCAGGATAGCTGGGTCTACACAGAGAAACCCTGTCTCAAAAAACCAAAAACAAGGAAACAAAACAAAACAAAAACAAAAAGCCCAAATCAGTATTTTAAACTATGGGATAAAACACCAGAAGTCATTATCTTACAAAGAAGCTGAGGTGTCAAGTTTGAGGCCAGACAGGGCAAAACAGGAGAGAAGGTGGCCGAGGGGATGTTAGTCAGTGAAACCCTTGCCTTGTGAGCATGTAGAAAATATATCCTATTTTAACTTTAATTTTTGGAATAATTAAAGGATAATGACTGAAATGGTACTAATGTGACTTTCATACCTCTTTGTACTGGATAGTTTTATGTCAACTTGATACAAGATAAAGACATCTGAGACGAAGGAACCTCAATCGAGAAATGCCTCCATGAGACTGGCAAGCCTGTAGGGATTGTCTTAATTAGTGATCATGGGGGAGGGTCCAGTCTATTGTGGTTAGTTCTCTCCCTGGGCTGGTGGTTCTGGGTTCTATAAGAGCAGGCTGAGCAAGCTAGTAAGCAGCACCCCTCCATGGCCTCTGCATCAGCTTCTGCCTCCAGGTTCCCACCCTGTTTAAGTTCCCGTCTGGACTTCCTTCAATGATGAACATATGGAATTATAAGTCAAATAGACTCTTTCCTCTCAAACATGCTTTGGTCATGGTGTTTCATCACAGCAACAGTCACCCTAACTATGACACTCTCTAAATCTTGCTTTGCAATCTCTGGAGGCATCATAATCCCTGACCTCAAGCTCTACCACAGAGCTATAGTAATAAAAACAGCTTGGTACTGGCATAAAAACCAATACGTAGACCAATGGAATCCAACTGAAAACCCTGACATTAATCCACACACCTATAAACACCCGATTTTTGACAAAGAAGCCAAAAATGTATAATGGGAAAAAGAAAGCATCTTTAACAAATGGTGCTGGCATAACTGGATGTCAACATGCAGAAGATTGCAAATAGATCCATATCTGTTGCCATGCACAAAACTCAAGTCCAAGTGGATCAAAGACTTCAACATAAATCCAGCTACACTGAACCTGATAGAAGAGAAAGTAGGAAGTAGCCTTGAATGAATTGGCACAAGAGACCACTTCCTAAATAAAACACCAGTAGCACAGACACTGAAAGCAACAATTAAATAATGGGACCTCTTAGAACTGAGAAGCTTTTGTAAGCCAAAGACACACGGTCAATAAGGCAAATCGACAGCCTACAGAATGGGAAAAGATCTTCACCAACCCCACATCTGACAGAGAGCTGATATCCAGAATATATAAAGAACTCAAGAAATTAGACATCAAAATACCCAACAGTCCACTTGAAAAATGGGCTATAGAGCTAAACAGAGAATTCTCAATAGAAGAATCTCAAATGGCCAAAAGACATTTAAGGAATTGCTCAACATCCTTAGTCATCAGGGAAATGTAAATCAAAATGACTCTGAGATACCATCTTATACCTGTCACAATGGCTAAGATCAAAAACACTGAAGACAGCTTATGTTGGAGAGGATGTGGAGCAAGGGGAACTCTCCTCCACTGTTGGTGGGAATGCAAACTTGTACAGTGACTTTGGAAATCAGTATGGTGACTTCTCAGAAAATTGGGAATCAATCTACCTCAAGACCCAATGATACCACTCTTGGGCATATACCCAAGGAATGCTCAATCATACCACAAGGACACATGCTCAAATATGTTCATAGCAGCATTATTTGTAATAGCCAGAACCTGGAAACAACTTAGATGCCCTTCAACTGAAGAATGGATAAATAAAATGTGGTACATATACACAATGGAGAACTACTCAGCAGAGAAAAACAATGACATCATGAAATTTGCAGGCAAATGGATGGAACTAGAAAATATCATCCTGAGTGAGGTAACCCAGACTCAGAAAGACAAACATGGTATGTACTCACTCACAAGTGGATACCAGATGTAAAGCAAAGGATAACCAGACTGCAGCCCACAGCTCCAGGGAGACTAGCTAGCAAGAAGGACCCTAGGAGGGACACATGGATCATCCAGCGAAGGAGAAACAGATGAGATCTACATGAACAAACAAGGGATGGGGTGGTAATGAAGGGTAAGGGATGGGAGATGAGAACATAGGGGAATGGGAGGTTCAAGCTGGGACAGGGACAGAGTGGGAAAGCAAGGAAAGAGATACCATGATTAATGAAGATAGCATGGGAATAAGGGAGAAACAAAGTGCTAGGGAAGTTCCCAGGAATCCACAAGGATGACCCTACCTTAGACTGATGGCAATAGTTGAGAAGGTGCCTGACCTGGCCTACTCTGGTGATCAGATGGGTGAATACCCTAACTGTCATCATAGATCTTTCATCCAGTGACTGATGGAAGCAGATACAGAGATCCACAGCTGGGTGCCAGGCCGAGCTCCAGGAGTCCAATCAGTGAGAGAGAGGAGGGATTCTATGAGCAAGGGACATCAAGATCATGATGGAAAAACGTACAGAGATAGCCAGCCAAACTAGTGGAAACCCATGAACTGTGTACCAATAGCTGTGGAACCCCATGGTACTGGACTAGGCCCTCTGGATAGGCAAGACAGTTGTTTAGTTTGAACTGTTAGGGAGCCCCCAGGCAGTGGGATTGGGACCTATCCCTGATGTATAAGCCAGCTTTTTAGAGCCCAATGCCTATGGTGGGACACCTTACACAGTCTTGGTGTAGGGAGGAGGGGCTTGGACCTGCCCCAACTGAATGTACCAGGCTCTGCTGACTCCTCATGGGAGACCTTGCCTTGGAGGAGGTCAGAATGGGAAGTGGGTTGGGGAAGAGGGAAGGCTAGGGGGCAGGAAGAGGGAGGAGGGGGGATCTGTGGTTGGTATGTAAAATGAATAGAAAATTAAATAAAATAAATTTTTAAAAAAATCTTGCTTTAATAACTCTTTTCAGAAAGAATATAGGCAATCACATCCACTTAGACATCAATGATAGTGCTTTTATTAAATTTGAACTTGGGTTGATAGTTATCATCCACCATGGGAAGCGATATTTATTTCCTATCTATAGAAGCCCATAATATAAGCTTCCATTTAACTTTGTGTGTGTTCACGTGTGAGCATCTGTGGTGCACATGTGTACACGTGGAAAAGAGAAGTCAACCTTGAGTGTCATTCATCGGGAGCCTCTGCCTTGTTTTTTCGACAAAGTCTCTCACTTGACCTAGAAGCCACATCAGGGGATGCCGGTTGGCAAGCTCCAAGGCTCCACTGCCTCTGCCTCCCAGTACCAGCACTACCACACCCACCTATTTTTTAATGTGTATGTATTCTGGGGATGAAATAGGAAGAATGCAAACCAGGAAGGAAGGAAGAAGAAAAGAAAGCCATCTTTGCTGACCACATCTACAGAGCTGACTAGTCCCGAGGCTGAGGAAGGAAGATCCCCTGAACCCAACAGTCTAAGACTAGCCTGGACAACACAGGCTGTCAACTGATTTCACACAGGAACTGGAAAGTAACCGATAGCTGGCAGTGATAACAAACGCACAGTTAGTTTCCTAAAGCAATGACGTCAGGGTGCGCGCGCACACACACACACACACACACACACACACACACACACACACACACACACACAGTCATTCTCATGGGGAAAAGCATGGCTGCTGAACCTAGAGGCCGAGCAGACACTTCGGTGTGGTAACAGGTACCACAGTTAGCCATCTGTCTGTCTGGGGTTTCTTGGGGATGTAACACTGTCAAGTCTGGTGTGTACAGAAAGGAAGCAGAAGAGCTTGACACATAATCTCCCAATGTCATCTTTCAACATGTTCTTTACAAAAAGCTAGCTTCCGAAAGGCTGACCGAGGCTTAAACATGGCATTTTCATTTCTCTGTAAACATCAAGAGAGTGTCAGGGTAGACAGAGAACACTTCTCACATCTGGTCTACACAATCTGCCACTGGCCTTCTAACCTCAGGGCGCCACAACCTCTCTGAGCCTCCATTTCAGATCTGCCTGTCTTCACTGGCTGGTAGGATGGGTGGAGGGGGTGTGTGCATAAGACTGCTGCACAAATCCGGACACTTGACTATTAGTTCAGCACCAGGGTGACTCGGTAGCATAGAGATTGCCTAGCACGTACAAGGTCCTGGGTTCAATCTCCAAAAACCTCATCAGTCAGTTAAATCCACATTGAAACAGCTAAGAAGGGCATGTTACTTGGGATGCTCAAGTGGGCAGGCCCTAGAGAACGCTGATGAGAACAAGAGGAACACAGCAGGATATCGATGATGAAGAAGCACTCTGATGACAGGGTGACCCAAAGGCACACAGTGAGGGGGACAGAAGTCCTTCAGGATGAGATGAGCTCTGGCCCTGCTTTGGTATGGAACAGCACAAATCAGCATGATGCTTGACTCTGCCTAAACCTAAGGGATACGCACCTCCTCCATCAATAGCACAGCACCGTCAGGGAAGTTGAGCTCCTTCACTCTCTCCGCAACTTCCTGCTGAGTCCTCAAGTTCCTCTCCAAAGCGAATGAGGTTTGCTGAGACTGGGTGAGCTGAAGCAGAAGCCTGAAAAACCAGAAAGTCTCAGTGTGAGAGGCTCCACCACAGGGCAGCAGAGGGCACAAGCTCCCACAGAGCCAGGCCCTCAGCAGCCGGGAGTCCCGCCAGCCTCACCAGGACCATCACCTACAGCTTCTGCCTGAATAAGTGCCTCCCTTCACATCTTCTTCTAGAAGAAAGGACCAGGACTCAAGGGGCTCAGGCAGCTCTGAGGGTAGCATAGGTTACAGGGAGTCTTTGTCTAAAAACAATAAGGCAGGCAGGCAGGCAGTTGAAAGCAAAAGCAATTCACTGAGAAAAGCTTTCAGTCAGCCCCAGCCACAGAGTGTCCTGGGTCCGTTCCTGGGATGCCGGCATCTGCTGACTCCACAGACACTGGACCTCAAGGACTACTTAGCTTTGCTGGCGTACATGAGTACCAAAACAGGGCCAGACCTCCGAGGACCACTTCACAACTGCCTTACTATGAATGTCCCCAGTGCTCCTAACCTGGTCTCTTGAGTCATTCACCCTGTCTTCGGAGCTCAACTCCCCTTTCCTAATGAGGAGCTCGGGCTGGATGTCCCACAGGCACCTGGGTCGTACATCAAGCTGACGTCATTCTTCCTTGGACCCTGATCTGTCCTTCCCATCCTTTTGCATGCTCCATCTCAGCAAAAAGCACCCAGGGCACTCCTCGGAGTCTCCTTCTCCTCACTCCCATCCCGCCCATACACCCAGCTGGTCGCCGAGTCCCATCTGTTCCGTAATGACGACACTGTTTTCTACTTCTATTCCTACTGCACTATTCTAGGTCAGATCCTATCACTGATGACCACTGCCTCTCCACTGCTGTCCAAAGTTCCAAATGACTTCTTCTAGTCACTCCCCACCCATCGCCGCCATGCACACACACCTGACTCACAGCTCTGATCACACTCCAATTCAAGCCTATGAATACTCTGGGCCTTCAAGGAAAGGACCAGTTCTGTATGGCACCTAAGCCAGGGGTGGCAGCACACAGCTACAGTGCTAGCACTGGAAAGGCTGAAGACAGTGGCATACAAGTTCCAGGCAAACCTTGGCTACACAGTGAGCACTGCCTCAAAGTCAACCAACAAGCAAAAAGGGTAAAGTCTTAAGCTAATAAAATACCCAAACACAATGAAAGTGCTCAATAGCTCAGCATTTTCCAATAGCCAGCACTTCCCAGCTGCTTGCTGCAGCCCTTGCCCCGCAGTAGGCGCGTTAGAGAACTTGAACTCCACACCCTCAAACAGCAGGCATTGTCCCCATTCCTCCATCTGTCCGGATGAGGAGTCTAGAGCCCGGAGTTTATGGAATTTGTGCAAGGCCACACAGCTGGCCAGCAAACCGTCCAGGCTCACGTGGTCGACACCAGGCATTTATTAAAGTCCTGATGGTCTGACTCTGAGTCCAGCCTCCTTCTTCCCTTGCCCTGGTATTGTGGTTTCCAGGCCTCCTTGAACTTCCCCACATTGCTGTCTGTGTGAATACTGAATGAATACTATAGGTTCATAGGGAGTGGCATTATTTGAAAGGATTAGGACATGGGGCCTTGCTGGAGTAGGTGTGGCTTTATTGGAGGAAGTGTGTCACTGGGGGTGGGCTCTGAGGTTTCAGAAATCTAAGCCAGGCCCAGTGTCTCTCTCTTCCTCCCGCCTGCCCAAGATGTAGAACTCTCAGCCACCTCTCCAGCACCCTGTCTGCCTGTGTGCTACCATGCTTCTCGCCATGATGATAATGGACTAAACCTCTGAACCTGTAAGCCAACCCCAATTAAATGTTTTCCTTTAGAAGAGTTGCCATGGTCATGGTGTCTCTTCACAGCAATGGAAACCCTAAGACGTCTCCAGATCGTGTAACTGCTCTCTATGCCTTCTAGCTGAGCATTCTTTCTCTCTGTCTCACCAAACACAGGAGCACAGCTTCCTCACCTGAGGAACAGTACATGGGTGAGCAAGACAACACAAAGAACTATGGATGCCTAGACACAGGGCTCTGGGGCTATAAACTGACCCCAATATGCACCCCAGAAAATCATGAGGAATAATATGAAAGAATGTGTACAGAGCACCCAGTTCTTGGTGGCCAGCTGCTAAGCACTCCTCTCGAGGAATATCAGAGGAGCACAGGCCTGGAAAAGGCTGGTTCTTCCCTCTGGTTGGTCTCCATGGTATCAACACGGTGACTATTGCAAGGAAAGAGCCTCTTGGTTTGGTTTTGTTCTGTTTCGCTCTTTTTGTTTTTTCTAACCATCTTTATGACGTGCCTGGCACACGTGCTTCAGAATGAAAGTGACACAGTCACTGGGCATGGTGGCACACGCCTTTGCTCTTAGCCCTTAGGCGGCAGAGGCAAGTGCGTCTCTATGAATTTGAGGCCAGCCTGGTCTACCCAGGGAGTTCTAGGCCAGCCACGGCTACATCGTGAGTGAGAACTGTGCACAAAACCAACCAACCAACCACAATAATAAAAAAGTGACGCGGTCAATGATAATTGGGCATCTGCTAATTTCTTTTTAATTCTTAGTTAAATTTCAATAGATTCTCCAGAATTAAAAACAGAACCTCCGTTCCCACCAGTTTGTTTCTTCATTGACAAGTCACAGAACTGGTCAAAGGCATTCCTCCCTCTTCTTGCCCTCAAATCCATATATTTTAAGGATCCAAAGTGCTTGGAGTCCCTAGAAGCTAGCACAGGAGGCTCTGTGGCATTAACTAAGCACTAAGCACTATGTACTGTGCACCAAGCACTGGGTGTTCATTAGTAGCACTGAGTACAAGAGCAGGCTTTCTTCAGATTTCTGCCAGACACAAACAAAGCCATTTCTGTAGAAATGACACTTTTCCTTTTAAATGTGTATACATTTTAATTGCTCATCACAGACTTTTTGTTGGTTTGTTTCCAATCTTAACACTCTATCTTGAGTAATAACAAGAGCCGTCTTTTTTCATTTGCCTTTTTTTTCCACACAGGGTAATGACCATTGGGCAGTTTCCACCTCCTGTCTGCACCATCTCCCCAAACTCCTGGGGTGGGCATTAGCTGTTTTCACTGAGGTGACTCCTACAGATGACCCCACATCCTCCCCACATCACACGGGACTGTGGGTTTCTGATTTACAGGTGCAAGGGAATGCTTCTTCAGTGAATGCTGCCTGAGTTCCTCAGAGGCCCGACCTGTCCTCCCTCACGCCCCCAACTATGAGACTTTGTCTTGTTCATTTAAGTCAGATTCTCACTACATAGTTCAGGCTGGCTTTGAACTCATGATCCTCCTGGCTCAGGCTCCCAAGTGCTGGAATTCCAGGTCTATACCAATAGCATTATGAAATATTTTAACATTTGTTTGTGTCCCGTTGTGGTTTATATTCATTTCCCAGATGGCTGGGCTTTCTTGTACTAACAGACATCAGGAACCGTCATGTCCACTTCTTAGTCACTGTGAATAGAGCAGTGATAATCATGGGTGCACAAGTATCTTTGGGGCATGTTAGCTCAGAGTGCTTCAGGTATACGTCACAGCTGGGTCATACGGTACTTTTATTTTTGGCTTTTCTTTTGGGGTGGGTTTTTTGTTTGTTTGTTTGAGACAGCGTCTCTCTACATAGCTCTGACTGCCCTGAAACTCTCTATGTAGACCAGGCTGACCTCAAACTCACAGAGATCTACCTGCTTCTGCTTCCCAAGTGCTGGGATTAAAGGCGTGCGTACCAGGCCCTAGCTTAGTTTCACTTATCTTATTTCTGGATCCCTATATCTCAGTGGCCATACTAGTCTATATTCCCACCAGCCTTGTATGGGATTCCTCATTCCCTGCATACCATGGATGCTAACTTCAAAAATTAACTTAAAGAAACAAATCTTTCCTCCTTAAAACGAAGAACCAGCCTTTCTCCGAGCTCACCCCAGGTGCTGACATACCCTCTCTCGGCTTACCTGGCGCGAACCAGAGAGGCACATGCCTTCATCCGAGCCTCCAGCCCTGCAGCTTCTCTCCATTCTGCCAGACAGTTCTGCATCTTCTGTGGAGCCTCCTCAGCCTTCTGGATGTTACAACCACTTGCCTCCAGGGAAAGCACTGCACTCTCAGGCAAGGCTGCTGGGAAACACAGAAGGCGGCCTGTTCCAGAGCACACACCCGAGGAACTGATAGCTTGGTTACTTGAGGTGACACTCGTCTGTCCCCGAGATGACGTACACAATGCCAGTAGGCCTGGCCCTGGACTCAGGTATGCCTCTGCCAATTTCCACCAGCTCCAAGGGTTCAGAGGATGAAGGGAAATCAGTTTTTGCAAGCACAGAATTGTCTTCTCCAAGTTCTGAAAACTTGAAAAAATAGCCAAGTGGAGGTAGAGCACCGTGGTTAGATGGTCCGTGTTGGTTGCTTTATTTTCCTGAGGAGAAGGAACAAAAGAATCTTAACTACAAAATGTTTTCATATAAAAATGGAAGCACCTAAAAGCCCAAGTTGTGTATGTTATAAACCAGAAGTATTTTTAGGTGCTATATGGATCAAGTAAACTTAATACTTCCACAGCTTTTGTGTTTCAAACCATAACCTAGGGCCAGTGAAAGCTGTGGCTGGCTGGAGCATGCACACATGTACGTACACACACACACACACACACACACACACACACACACACACACACACACACAAATATGAAACCATAAACCTGGAAAATGATCCAGGAAATGGTCCCCAGCAACTCATAGATACCTTTCTTAGGGTTTCTATTGCTGTGAAGAGACACCATGACCATAGCAACTCTTATAAAGGAAAGCATTTAATTAGGGCTGGCTTACAGTTCAGAGGTTGAGTCCATTATCATTATGGTGGGTGCCATGGTGGCATGCAGGCAGCCATGGTGCTGGAGAAGGAGCTGAGAGTTCTACATCTGGATCCCCAATCAACAGAAGGGACTCTGTGTCATACTGAGCATAGCTTGAGCATAGGAGACCTCAGAGCCTGCCCCCACAGTGACACACTTCCTCCAACAAGGCCACACTTCCTGATAGTGCCACTCCCTGTGGGGGCCATTTTCTTTCAAACCACCACAACACCCCAATGCCATAATGCAGCAGCTCATGTATAAGTGACCTGACAAAATTCAACACCAAAAATATAAATGCCATGGATTGTTCAACTTTACCATAGTCCTGTTATGGTCATCTTGTGTCATACTGGTAAGGGGTGAACGTGTGATGCCCAGTCTCAGCTGACAACCTGATGGTGTGAGAAGCACCCAGGGGAGCATCGAAGGACAGTTCTAGAACATACTAGTTAAATGGGGTAGACCCCATAAGCTGGCTTCCCAGACGGAATAACAGAGAGAAAGAGAGAGTCCGCCAGTGCCTCTGTCCCACATCACCCTGCTGCCAGGAGAGGCTGCTGTCTCAGTTACACCCTCCATCATGTCACACCGCCTCACTGCAGCCCAGAAACACAAGGCCAGTGACCCCGGAGTGTGGACTCTGAAGCCATGAGCACATCTCTCCCCAGTCCTGTCACCGTGGTGAGGTCTGTGTGCATTTTCTTATTAGGCGCTGACCTAATGGTTTCTTTTTAATATTTCAGAGTTTCTAAACCCCGAGGTAATTTCCTTGAGGATTTGCAGGAATCCCATCTGCATCTTTGACTTGGCTTGGACTTCTTACCCAGGACAAGCCTGAAGCTCTCAGCTTGGTACTGCACCCAAATGCCGTCCCTGCTGTCCCTGGCCACAGGAGGTTGCTCTGTTTCCTTCTGATCAGAAAACCCTTTTGAAGTCTCCTTAAGAGCCATCATCTCTCACCTAACCTGCCATATGGCAGATGCCCTGTGGATTAGAGAAAAGGGTCCACTTTTTCCAAATTAGTCTGCAGAGAGCAGATGGCAGAGTGAAATTACCTTCAACCCGATGTGAAATCTAAGGGAAGCCCGGCCTGTCCAGGTCACACACCTGCACAGAACAAAACCGAGTGTCAAACAGAGGCCAAACTACCCAGTATGCTGCCTACAGGAACCAGTAAACCACCCAGGATGCAGCCTACAAGAACCAGTAAACCACCCAGGAGGAAGCCTACAGGAACCAGTACAGCAGGCAGTGAAAAAGCCTGCTGAGTTCTTGGAGCATTCCCATGCCGAGAGGAAAAACAGGAAACAGACGCACATAACTTATTTGGTGACACCATATCTACCCAAGCACTGGGCACACCTTGCTTTAACTGTTTCTATTGCTTACGGCAATAATAAGAGCCTTGGGTTCGATTCTGAGTTAGGGTACACAGACATGGCACAGTGCCCTGTGTACCGCAGATGTGACCTAACTGCTGAACAATGAATTCTCTAAAGCCAGGCTGTGCCCTTCTGAGCTGGCTCAGTGTGTAAAGGCGCTTGCTGCCAAGCCTGAGGACCTGGGTTCAATCCCTGGAAACCACTCGGTGGAAGGAGACTAACGCCCCCCAACTGTCTTCTGACCTCCACACAGGCTGTAGCGTATGAATCCCCACCACCTCTAAGTAAATAGACAACATGCAAAAACTACTTTAATTATGCCTTTCCTTTCTAATAAGAACATGTCTGGATTATCTCTAGCAAATGCTCCACTTCTTCTGCTACTATCTATAATGCATTCTACTATTCAAAAACACGTTGCCACTGGGAAAGCAGATATATGTCAGTGTGAAGTAGGTGCCACACACAGACTGTGATCCCTCCCCGACTCCTGCTTTTTTTAAAAAACAGGGTACGCATATATGTATGTATGTATATATATGTGTGTGTGTATGTATATATATATGTATATATGTGTGTATATATATGTGTGTGTGTATATATACATATATATATGTATACATATATATACATATATGTATGTATATATATGTATGTAGACTAGACTGGTCTTGAACTTGTGATGCTCTTACCACCACAGCCTCCCGAGTGCTGGAATTACAGGCATGCACCAATACGCTGGGCTCTAGACTATGGTCCTGATAATATGATTAATAAGGTGAGTTTACTGGTGTGGTAGTTTGAATGTAATTGGCCTCCATAATCCCAAAGGGAGTGGCACTATCAGGAAGTGTGGCCTTGTTGGAGGAAGTGTGTCACTGTGGAGGCGGGCTTTGAGGTCTCTTTTGCTCAAGCTTTGTTCAGTGTGACAATCAGACTACCTCCTGTTGCCTGCAAAATGCAGGACTCTCAGCTACTTCTCCAGCATCATGTCTGCCTGCACACTGCCATGCTCCCAGCCATGATGATACTGGACTGATCCTCTGAACTGTAAGCGAACCACCCAATTAAATGTTTTCCTTTAGAAGAGTTGCCATGGTCATGGTATCTCTTCACAGCAATAGAAACCCTAACTAAGATGACTGGTATGCTAAATTAATAAAGGAGGGTTTGATGGCATGGTTGGTATGCCCCTCTTTGGACATTAAATTCCATTTAAATGTGTTTCAGGGATTTCCCCAGGGCTGCAATAATAAAACAACGGGACTAGAGATGATTCGGTGGTTAAGAGCGCTCGTTGCTCTTGCAGAGGATCCAAGTTTGGTTCCCAGTACCCACACTGGGTAGCTCACAACCAGCTCTACTCTAGCTCCAGGGGGATCCAATGTCTCTAGGCTCCTGGGCACCTGCACTCCACGTCCATACCCACACTTCAACCCCAACACACACACACATATATATACACACATAATTAAAATTTAAAATATATCTTCGAAAAATCAAAAGAAAAATCACTCATAATCCTACCTGAGTATATATTCCTCATAAAAATAAAACTTCTGAAAATAAGATTTCTAAGCAATAATTCTCATCTTAGCACAGGGAAAATATTCCAAGAAAATAATCACATCTGGTGCACCGAGCTTCCCTCGGTAACCCCAGCCCACCAATCCCGCTTCCACTGGAGGTTTGTTCTTCAGTGAGTGAACGACTCCGACGTCCTTGGTACAGGGGAGTGTGAGAACAAGCGACGGAGCCACTCACCAAGTCTGCTGCAATCTCCAGTGCTTCCTTGTGTCTCCCCAGCTGAGCCAGACACCGGGCCTGGCCTTCTTGGACATCCCTTTTCATGGCAACATTGGTAGACGGCAACTGTTCAGAGATCCTGGAGTATTCCCGCAGCGCTTTCTGACAATTATTAAAGGAAGAAGGGAAGGCATAAGGAGGATGGGGATCCAGTGTAGAGATGACCGTTGCCTACGCAGAAAGTAGTATTATAACTGACCTCTCCAGTGACCTATGGGAGACCTAAGTGCTTCAAACAGTACTATTAATGTTTTTTCTAAAAGGTAGAGACAGATAGCTGCAGGTCATAATGTCTACAACTATGGTAAACATCACAGCATTAGAGACAGAACATTCTAGATGCAAACAGAATAGGCTTTGAGTCCTAGATTTACTGGGACGTGTGTGTGTGTGTGTGTGTGTGTGTGTGTGTGTGTGTGTGTGTGTGTGTCTTTTGAGACATAGATAACTCCAGCTGGCCTGGAATTTGCTTAATTTGATTAATTAGGCTGGACTTGAACTCATAGGGATCCACCCACCTCTGCCTCCGCCTCTGCCTCCACCTCGAAAGCGCTGGATTGAAGGCATATACCACGAGGCCCAGCTATTATACCTTATTAATACTTGCACAAAGATGAGATGGGACGTATATGTGAAGCAATCTGGCATCTGATTGTTCATTCTTCCCTTTTCTGGCATATTTTGGGGAATTTGTCCCTGTGACATGCTGGAGAGTCACGGGTGAGTCGATATAGAGTCTAGGGAAACAGACCATAAGGACTCCCAAAACAGTCTTTGGTTGGAATTATGAAAAAACAGAACGTAATATGGACCCTAAAGAAAAGACTCGGACTTAGGATTCTAAGATTATCTACAGGCATTGCCGAAGACTAACTCCATCTCCACAAAGCACACTCCTAACTTGGCACACACTGCTCTTTACATGTGCTATTTTGATAAAACAAGAGCCCACTTCAAGTACCCTAGTCTGTCACGGGCTGACTCCCACCTCGTATTCCTGTCGTCGGTAGGCCAGGTCCCCTCTGAATTTCTTGAGAGTGAGAACTTCAGTATCCTCACTACTTCCCGTCTCTCCATAAAACCACTAGAAGTCAAGAAGACAGCATTTATGAGGAAGAGTGAAGCCATGCTTTTCCACATCGCCATCAAAAGCAGGTTCCCACAATACAACCATTTAACCGCCAAGGACACGCGTCTTCAGGATGAGACTCAAGGGAAAACAGTGGACAAAGAACGGCTACATTTCTGCTGTTTTCTGAAACAGGGTCTCATTATGCCCCCCAAGTGCTGAGATTACAGACATGACCGCGCAGACCAAATGATACATATGTGTGTGCAGGTGTGTGGATGCCTGTGTCTGTGTGGTGTGAGGGCCGGCTGTCTTTCTCTATCAGTCCTCATCTTTTTCAAGACAGGGTCTCTCACTGAACCTGGAGCTTACCGATTGGCTAGCCTGGCTACCAGCAAGCCCCAGGGTGCTCCTGTCTCCACCTCCCAGTGCCGGTTGCCATGCCCAGTTTTTTATAGGGGTGCTCAGATCCGCATGCTTGGTATTAAGCACTTACCACTGAGCCACCTCCCTGGCCACCAATGACAATCCTAATGGTGGCCCGATTTTTTAAAATCATTTTTTCAATATATTAGATGCGTGAGGTCACATCCAAGCCACTGTGAACATGTGGAAGTCCGAGCACGCTTTGCCGGAGTCCGTTCTCTCCTTCTACCGTGTAGGTTCTGGTGACAGAGCTCAGGTCATCAAGACCTGGCTGCAGGTGACTTTATCTGCTGAGTCATCTCGCTAATGGCCCAGGTTTTTGTTAAAATGATCACAAATACAGAGTCAGTGAGATGGCTCTGTGGGTAAAAGCACTTGTCACCAAGTCCGAGATCATGGACCCCTGTGGAAGAAGGAAACAACCAATACCTGCAGTTTGTCCCAACTGCCACACAGTGCCATGGCTCGCTCTCTCTCTCGCTCTCTCTCTCTCTCTCTCTCACTCACACACACACACACACACACACACACACACACACAAATAAATGAATGTGGTTAACAATAAATTCTTTAATGACCACTAGTATAAACACGTCAATAACATATTTGTAAAAAAAAAGAAAAAACAAGAAAAAAAACCACATATTTTCAACCGTATCCTATACGGTACCAAGGACTCTTTAAAGCAGTATCTGTTTTCTTTTAGAGCAGTGGGGTGAAAGGGATTGACAATCCTACGCACAAGACACAGGAGGCTGTGATTACTATGGTAACGGTGCTACTGTGAAAATGTCACACAGGCACACAGAGAATCCGAGCAAAGGAAATTACAACTGAAGGGAGGGTTCTGGGCATCTCTAAGAACACTTCCCTCTTCTGATTTAAACCCCCTGGATACAAAGTGAGATTGAGATTTAACTCCCGACGAAAGGACACAAAAAAGGATGAAAAGCATTTTGTATGGCCAAAGACGCATCTCCTACTCCCTTTTACAATAAAACCTGCTGAGGCCAAAGAAAGTCTGTCTCTAAATTCTGTTGACTCGAATGTAGTTAGCACATTCTGATGGCTTGGCTGTATTTCTAAAATACTTCACTCTGTGCCACCGCGCATCACAAGCTTGCTAAATTAGTCTCTCTCCTCCTGAGCCACCACGGTAAGGAAAACTTCGTTCTATTCTTCAAACACCACGTCACTCAAGACTAGATGTTTGCGCCACAGTTAGCTTCGGCCCTTTGCAGCTATCTAGTCACACTGATTTTTAACTAGCCCTTCCCCACTTCTTAACAATGATCTATAAACCTCCACCCCATTTTCATTATCCTATTAGAAAACGATGAAACTAAATTGGCTTGAGACTATTTTATTCTCCCAGACTGTCGGGGGGCCTGCAAGAATGCGCTGGTGACCACCGGGGCCGGGCTGGGGGCAGGGAGGTGTTGTGTGGCACTAGCCCGGGCCGGCCTGCGGGACCTGTGGGAGGGTGGGGACAGACGACAGGAGGCGGGAAGAGGGAGGCGGCCGTGCTCACAAGCCCCGACTGCAGGGCTGCCTGCCGGACAGTGGCGGGGGCTGGCCTGGCCGCAGGCAGGCTCCGATGCGGAGCGGCGGGAGCCAGCCGTCTCACCTGGGGCTCGCACAGCTTGGCGCCGTAGGGCGCGGGCGGCTCGGGCCGCCGCTCGGGCCTCTGCTCGAACACCGAGTCCTCAAATTCGCCGCCGAGCACCCAGCACCCGGCCTCCATGGCGCGCGCGCGCGCAGCCAGGCCTCGAAACCGGGTCACACTTGGAGCGGCTCCCAGCCCCCAGCATCCGAAACGCGCGGCGGCAGCCAGGCACCGAGACGAGGTAGTGCCTAGAGCGGCGCCGGCGCGCAGCCCACCCGGAAGCGGTGGGCGGTCGGCCGGAGCGTAGCATTCTGGGAGTGGTAGTCTTTCAGCGGCCGCGCATGTAGGGGCTGTTACCCAAGCTGGGGGTCGTGGTGGAGCAGAAATTATTACCTGACTCTCGGGCTTCTTGAACCTCACAGCAAAGAGTTTGACTTCTCCGTGTCAGGAGCTGAATAGAGTACTCGTTCCCTGCCTACCTCGAAAAATCGGGGTCCGTGGGGAGCCGGCTAACTTAGGTACCGGTTTTAAACACTGGCAGTATTCTCATTGTGTTACCCCTCCCCCATTTTATTTTGCATTTTCCGTCTTCTCCCAATAGCAACTGCGAGAAAGGCAGTAATTCCTGTTTTGTAAACGAAAATATTGGGCTTGAAGAGGTCAGGTAAACTAGCTGAAAAAGCCCCGCGTCTCTAAAGAAGAGACCAGAACTACTCAGAAATTTATAAAAAGCTAGACTCGATCTGACTAGCAGAACTCTAAGACTTTCCAGAAGTGTCTTGACTCTGGAAAGTAATGCAGAGCTAGTAATAAGGCTTTTTTGTTTTTCCTCTCACTTGCTCTTCTTCCACCGTTTGTCTTTTCAGGGTTCTTTCTTCAGCTCTATTTTCTATTCTCCAGACTCTATGGGCAACTTAAGCCACCTCCCCCGGTTTCAAAATCCATCTGCTCATAACTCACAAAATGTGGAACCTAGCTTCGTATTCAACAGACTCATCTGAAGACTCCACGTAGGCTAGGCGGTAACTGCTGATGGATTCGTCCCGGGGAAATCCATGTTTAATAGTGAGGTTGTTTTGTTTTCCCATCAGTAATGCAATACTCCATATTAAGAAAAATTTGGATATTACAGAAAAATATAAGAAAACAATACATAATACCATCACCAAGAAAAAAAAAATGAGGTCCTAAAAAGAAAGAGATATTTGCCCTAATTCTGGTATGTCGTCTTAGAAGCACAGTACTGGATAACTGCAAGAGCCATGTGTGTCTGGCTTCAAGATCCTTGCTTTACTAGCTGTTCAACCCAGTGTGTGAAATGGGTATTGATTAAAGTGAGGCTTATAAAGCTTGTCAGATGGCCAGAGGGTGACATGGGTTCATTTAAAATCCCTGCTCCAGGAGCAGCATAAGAGCAGAGCAAAGGCAGGCGTCGGGGATTTCTCTAGCCTTTTCTTTATGAAAGCTGTTTGGTCCCGGAATGTCTTCCCTCCTGCTCTGAAGCCAGCTGGCTCTAGACTCCTGCCCAACAACTAACTGAACTAGAGCTTGTGTTGAGAAGGCGGCCAGTTGCTTTAGGTCTGCATGTGGGTAAGTGATAGTTCACTGCTCTTAGGGCTCAAGATTCCTGGGCTTAGTAGTTTCCAACCTTTTGCCACTAAAAACCTGCTTGGTTACTTTACTCCTGCAGCCATGGCAGATTTGTGTACTGTGTATTTATTGACTAATGATTGCTTCTCTTTCCTTTGAAAAGCTGAACCCAAATTCTCTATAACAGCCAATCCAAACTTCTACCCAGCTTGAGTCCACCAGCATTGCCTCATTCTATGATAGAATTCCAGCTGAAAGTGAGAATGTAGCTGTTAGGACCCTGGGAAGCCTGATGGACAGCAAACTAGTTAGAATTAGGACTTTGCCAATAATACAGTTTGAATTCCCCATTGCAGTTGAGGAGCCAAGGTCTGGTAGCATCGCCTCGCTTGATAAGCCCAAGACAGTAAGCCAATAAAACAAGAGGGCATCGGGCACTGTAACAGTTAAATCTATGTATACTTAGAAAAGGCAGGTGTTTGGTGGTGTTAGAGCAGTGGTTCTCAATCCTCCTAATGCTGCGACCCTTTAATACAGTTGCTCATGTTGCAGTGACTCCCAACCGTAAAATTATTTTCATTGATACTTCATAACTGTAATTTTGCTGTTATGAATTGAAATGTAAATACTTTTTGGAGATATTTGTTTGTCAAGAGGGTCATGAGCCACAGGTTGAGAATCACTATGTTAGAGAGTAAATGGGATTTCTATAACTATCAAACTGAGTGATTATGATTTTTAAAAACCTGTTTCTGCAGCTTAATAGCTATGAAAGTCGTATTTTTGATTGAGGTGCCTGTTTGAGTTGCCCATCACAAGGCAGCTGCCACCTTTTCAGGCAACACTCTGCTCACTTATTTCCCTCACTGTGGCATTCCACGAACTGTAGACAGTGGGAAAGTTGGACGCTGTCTTTTTCACTCTTGTAAACTCAGCTCCCAGACAGACCTTGGCCAAAGCATGCTGAATGGATGGGTGGTGGTAAAGGAGGGGTACCAAGGGAGGCAGAAGTACTTCTCAGCTGTGGTCACATGCTGGTGTCCTGCCTGTGATCTGGGGAGGAGAGCCAATGTTTCCCTGTGGAAGCGTTTCCCCAGCCTAGACCATGAGCCTACCCTCGCTGCGCCCCATGACCTCAAGTGAGCCCTGCTCCCCAGCAGCTGTTCTCAACAGGCCTGCCACAGTCAGCCCTCAGTATGCCCCTCCTCTTGCAACCCTCTTGTCCTAACTAGGTACCAACTCACCACTCCTTTTATCAGGAAGCCACCCCAACCCCAGTGCCCTTTATCTATGTGACCAATTCCCAGAATCCTTTCCTGACCTCCCCTCCCCTCAGCCTGGCTCCCATTGCCCCGGTCTAGGTTCACACACCATGTCCAAGGGCACTTGGCATTTCCAAAGGCTGGGGTTGAGGCTTTTTTTTTAATCTAATGCTCATTTGTCAGTCACCCACAGTAGACCATGAGCTCATTTAGGCCTTGACTAGGTCATTCACCTCTATGTGAGCAGTGTCTGGCACCCAGTCATCCCTGACTCCTGTTGAGGGGATCAATCCAAACTACACTTGCCACAGAGTATCCATGTATGAACTCTCTGCATCATTCCATGTGTCTGGGGGCCTATGTGTGTAGCTCTGTGCTCATGTAGAGACCATACTAACTTGGGGGGGGGGTAGCTGATAAACATGGACACAAGCAGGTTATTTAGTTACATATTTTGATATTGTGCTGGTATCAAGGTTTGGATGTGAAATGTGTCTCACAGCTCACACTTTAAATATTTCATCCCCAGCTTGTGTGAAAGGCTGCCTGTAGAAGTGGGGCCTGACGGGAAGTAGGTCACTGGGGGCAAGTCCCTGAAGGTTCTATCTGATTTTCGTTCCTGGCAAGGGCTCCTGTGTGGTGATATTTTATTTGTGCAACCCAATAAAGTTTATCTGAGGATTAGAGGAAAAAGCCAGCCACTATAGTAAACATAAAAGTCAGGCAATGGTAGCACACACCTTTAATCCTATCATTCAGAAGGCAGGGATCTGTCTGGAGCTCTGTGAATTCAAGGCCACACTGGGAACAGAGCCAGGTGTGGTGGCACATGCCTTAAATTCCAACACTAACCATAGAGGTCTGGAGGTCTGTACAGACAGACAGGAAGTGACAGAGCTGGGCAGAAAGAGGAAGTGATGTAGCTGGATGGAGAGAGCAAATCAGATGGCAGAACAGAAAGGCATATAGGTGTGGGTATATAAGAAGTAGGTCTCTCGCTGGGCGGTGGTGGCGCACACCTTTAATCCCAGCACTCAGGAGGCAGAGGCAGGCGGATCTCTGTGAGTTCGAGGCCAGCCTGGTCTACAAAGCGAGTTCCAGGAAAGGCGCAAAGCTACACAGAGAAACCCTGTCTCAAGAAAAAAAAAAAAGAAGAAGAAGAAGAAGTAGGTCTCTCTGAGCCGGGCAGCGGTGGGGAGGGGGCCAGAGCCAGGTGGATCTCTGTGAGTTCGAGCCTAGCCTGGTCTACAGAGCGAGATCCAGGAAAGGCACCAAAACAATGCAGAGAAACCCTGTCTCGAAAAAAAACAAACAAAAAAAAGTAGGTCTCTTTGGAGCCTGAGGTGTCAGTGAGGTGAGGTTAGCTTGTGGCTTTTCCTAGTTCTCTGATCTCTCAAGTTTTCACCCCCATATCTGGCTCCGGGTTTTTATTTAATAAGACCATTTAGCAATTTGTCTACACTCCTGGTCTGTCAAGATGTGCAAAGCTTCCCCACACACTGCAGCCCTTGACTCAGACACTTGTGCTAAAATGCTGCCCTTGCCATACCAAACTGAAACCCCTCTGAGACTGTGAGCCCGAACAACCCAATCCTCCCTTGTTTCTGTCACCGTGAGCAGAGTGAGTGAAGTAGGGGCAGAGCCTTTCTGGACTTACTGTAGAAAAGGGCCTTCCATGATAGACCTATCTCTTTGCCTTTCTGACCCAAGCAGTTTTCCTTTGAGCTACCCCTTTGGCTCTATGAAGATGGTAAATAGTTCTTTTTCCACTTTTCCATCTTTTTCTTTAATTTTTTTAAAAATTACATTTATCTATTTATTTGGGTGGGGGCAAATGCCACAGTGCCCATGTAGTAGTCAGAAGACAACTTACACGAGTTAGTTCCTCCCTCTGCCATGTGGCTCCCAGGAGTCAAACTCAGGTCATCAGGTTTGGAGGCCAGTGCCTTAATCCAATGAGCCATCTTACTGGTCTTTCTGTTTGTTACTTTTCCTAAAAACTGTTCCTTCTATTTCTGACATGAATGCTATCCCACTAATTCTCATGAATAAATTACCAACATACATTTCTCATATTCTGAAGAATTTGTATAGTAGTACACTCATTGATTCAACTAAAATCTGTGTTTATATGCTGTAAGAAAAGTACTGTTTTCAGAATGGAGCATACAGTGGTAAATAAGACAGATGAGATCCATACACTCAGGGCTGGAGAGATGGCTCAGCCCTGAAGGGCACTTGCTGTTCTTGGAGGGGACCAGAGTTCCCTTCCCAGCACCCACACCAGGCAGCTCACAGCCACCTGTTAACTCTAGCTGCAGGGTATCTGGTGCCCTCTTCTGGCCTCCATAGGTACCTGCACAGAGGTATGCATATTGACAAATTATATATATATA